GCGTAGTTTGCCGTCAGAAACATCCAAACCACATGGTCACGGAACGATCTACAACTGTTATCATACATGACCATTTATTCTCATCACAGGTGACAACTGGGTCCAAGAAACAGGGTCGTTTCTAACTGCGGCAAGCAAATGCCGAAGCGAACCTCGAACGCCCCCCGGATGCCGATTCCTGCCGGTCACTCCGATTGTGGGGCACCCAATTGTCGAGTTTTTTCACCTTCCCAATGCGTTCCAGACCATCTGCAACAGTGGATTTGCCAAGGCCTAGCTCTTCTGCTATCTCTCGAACTGTTTGGGATGGGTCAGCCTCCAAAATCCCCCTAAAATCCTCGTCAGATATTGCTTTAGGTCGACCGCTATGAGGTTCATTCACCTTCAAGGCTGAAATCTCCAGAACGAAATTTGTTGAGCCATTGCCGCACAGTGCTTTCTCTAGCACTATTGGGCCCCCACACCTGGTTAATTTGTTGAGCTGTTTCGATTGCGGATTGCCCAATTTATAGTCGAAGAAAAAAATCGTCCGAAGTGCTCTTTTCACATGCTTGAAAAAATCTTGAAAAAAGGGGTTATCAAGCAATGGTGAAACGGCAATTATACCATCAGATAGCGCAAGAAATTCTCTACAGGATGTGCTACTGAGAAGCAAGGCAGAATGAGTTTTTAATCAGCAGTGAATGTACAAAAATAGGTGCACAAAACGCTGAGAACTTTCCGGACAACCTAATATAACCCGCCTTTGCACTACTTTGTCATAATTGGAGCGCTGTCGTCAAACTAAAGCTTCAAGTGGTTCACTCTCATGCCACTCTTCTTTTTCTTCCGCGAGACTGAGGGGCGACTGATGTCAATGACGTGGTAGTATTGCTTTCTTACCTCTAGTGACCTGAGGGGCTCGCGGAAAAGCGGTTCTGTCTACGGCCGTTGGTCGTTCAAATTTTCGTCAATCTCTGAGCTCTTCAGAAATAGTTTTCTTCTTATCATGTTCGATTTCAGAACGTGTCGATGCTGCGAGGCATAATTCGCCAGAATTTAATTTGGCATAATTGTCTTGTACTGTACAACGATTTATTCCAAGGGCAAATGGCGAAAATGGACGGATGTTATATTAAATATATTTATTAAAACTATGCGTAAGACACATCAATGCTGTACGATCGCATACGACCAAGTGGAAGAGGTGGTGCAGGTATAACTGGTTGTGGCAAGATGGCTTCGGGCTAAAATACCAGTAGGCTCTTACTTTCTATTCCCTTACTGGCGTCCAACCACAAAAAGAAAAGGACGTTCGAGATGGCATATTAAGACTCCCTAGAGAGCTTACATCTTAATGGTTAGCCTGTTCATCACAAGAGTCACGGCATAATTCTGCTTATTCCTCGATTACGTCCGTCTGCAGCTCACTAGGAAGGAGCACACAAATCAGGAAGGCACAGCGGCATGCTTTCCCCGCCCATACGATTACCGTAATCTTTCCTCCAAGACAGTTTCTTTGGTAAGAAGTTCATACGACTCTTGCGCAAATAGAACCAACATATCATGGACGGCGGTAGAACGAGTTAATATCCTAATTCCTATAATAATGTATGATGATATAGTAGTGCCTTCTGTGAGTATTACTCTCACCTCTCCCCCCCCCAACACCCACCAAACTCCACCTTCATGACACGAACTTCAGTTTCAGCAAAGGATGTTGTTTGAGATCCGTTCAACATTGCGTGGTGTGCGCGATGAAGGAATGATTAGGTGATCGCTTTTGTTCTCTCTACCAGTAACGTAGGATAATCTCGTAGATCGCCCTGAGATCGGAGGCGAGGGCTGGTTTCTTCAACTTAACTTGAAGGTGTCTACGCTTTTGGCGGACTATTTCCATCTTGACATATTCAAATGCCACGCATAGCTCTGGCTCAGAGATATCGAGTATAGCTTGGTGCATTTGTTTACCCCATGAGCTTGATCAAATGTAACTAAGCGGTGCCTCCCCGAAATTATGTCTCAGCGTTTTTACTTTTTGCTTACAGAAAGGTCTTATTCTGAGCATTAATTCAAAGTCACAACCCGTTCCCGTGCACTTTTGAGCGGAGAAAATGGCACGCTACTGCAGGAGCGAACCCATCTATCTCGCACTTGGCAAGGACCGGGACACCCGGAGATTAGTGTACAGTTTATGCTCAATGTTGGCATGATATTACTGGTATGATATTGTGTTCAATTTTGGTATTGATTTACTGGTAGATATCTGTGCGGCAGACAACCTCACATTAAAATGCTTCAACAGTGTATATGGATTCTCGTTATCTCTCAAATCAGTCGGACGTCGTTGCATTCGTTCGTGTGGGATCCCACGAGCCGCAATGACTACATCTTCAACGACGATGTCATCTTCTGGAAATATTCACATTAGAATTTGTGCTGTAACTTTCGAGCTCGTGGACTCACGAAGGGGAGGAGGTTGCGTCGACCGGGGCGCCAGAGTGGGGCATGTTAAGAACAAGGTGCATACACACTGATGCGTCTTCGGACGCTGATTTCAAATCTGCTTTCCATATCTGCTAAACGATTCTCTGAGCAGAGATATGCAGGAGGTTGTTGATTACAGAGCGCAAACTGAACTTGGTAACAAAATGAGACGTGAGTCGCCCACAACTTAGTGCATCTAGCCTAGTGCGTAGTGTGCGCGTTCTCAAGTATGCGGGTGGAGCGTATCGAATTCCTCCATGATTCTTCATTGCATTTCTCAAAATGCCTCCTGCACATCCGGAAAGCACTTCTGCGAGGCTAGGAGACCTGATTCTACCAAAAAATTTTATTTCTGATGTGATAGAGCCATTCTGGAACACTCCTAGTGGGAACTCCTGATTGTTGGTTTCGGCGGCATTATTCGTTCCGTCGTGTTGTGAGGCCAAACTGATTCCAGATGGCATGGAAGCCAAAAGTGGATGTCGTGGTTGTTATCAGGACCGTCAGTAACCAACAAGGACTAAGATTTAGCGAGGAACCTCCACTGCTCACAGAGATTTGAATCGGCGATAGTGCCAGCAACCTTTAGGAATTGGCTGCCTATGGTTACCCCACTGTATCGAAAATAGGTCGAAATCTCAAATTTGGTTGAAAACTTGTCTCTAGGGCTAATTTGAGCCCCAGAGCACGAATATCACACTCGTTCGGCGTAAAAACGCGCTTTGCCAAGGACGAGGTCCTGCACACGCGTCTGGCCCTCCATAAGTGTGAACAAGACTATTTTACGAAAATGACTGATTGTTGGATTTCCAGGCACTGAAAGCCACCTCTAGTTTCAGATTCCAGCCAATTTGGGCAATTTGGAGCACCTCACACATGACTGAAATGGGTGTGACCTGGTCAAAAATCCTGCATAACTTTGTCCAGGAAATCGTTTAGCAGATATGGAGGGCAGATTTGTAATCAGCGTCCAAGGGCCCATCGGGCAGTATACGTCTCATTTCGAATGGCCACTTCGACCAACCATCCTTTCCTTGTCAGCTCTATTCACTTTTCACCACCCGGCCTTTCGGAAGTTCTAGTTATGAACGAATATTTCTATGGGGGGAAGGACTCACTTACATCCTCTGCGCTGGGAAGCGCTAGCGAAAGCGCCCCACAGCCTCCCGCCCACTATAGGCATCTGCGCCAAGACTGGAGTGACGACAGAACCAGAGGAGGCAGCCAGACATTTTCACCCAAATCCTTGTGATATTAGCGTTTAGCCGATCAACATCTTGTCAAGTCTACTCTTGGGAGGAGATATTCCGATCAAAAACTTGACAGCTAGGACAGTATCGGTATAGAAGAACTAACACCAGAAATTCTATCTGGTGGAGACCTCAGAGGGAATAGTATACCTTTTCATGTGAGTGAGATCTAATATAATCGACAACTGTTCTTTCGACAAGGAAATTTAAGGCGCTGTGTACTCTGTAAGGAAAGGAATTCGCGGGTGATGCAGGAATGTGGGCGCCCGCCAGTGAAGCGATATCGGCAGTGGCACCGCGTGTGCGGTTATTCGCACCACGCAGCTTGTTGCATTGACGCGAAAAGTTGCCACAGGAAGCTGAAGCTTTGTCATTTAAAATGCGCTAATGTCCGGCTTTCCGTCAAATACCGGTGCGGTGGTTTCGGGTGGTGCAGGATGTGTCCACTCCAGACTGCTTTTTCTAAGAAGGGTATCCGGTCCAGGAAGAAAACAACTAATTATGGTAAATGCCGCCAGTGGGCTCAGATCAGGCCTCGCCGAACACCGCCCTACCGGAATTCGACTGCTTATCTGAATCACGGAAGCGGCTAGTCAGCACATATGTAGTGGCGACTGGATATTCTCGCCGTTTTCCTCAATGAATCTTCACGCAACCAGTTCACACTCCGAAAGTACATAAAATCAAGCCATTTGCTCCTCATGCGAAGTTGAGCGGAAAGCATTTTCGGCGATAGGCACGAAGGCGCACATATACCAAGAACATCCCGTTAATTTTCGCGAGAAATGTCGCAAAGTCCTATACTGTCACATATACCTCCAGATGTGGGTCAGAAGATTTGTATGGCGGAGAAACGCAGCATTGTGATGTCGTGCACGCGATCTTTGCACCCTTGGTCGAAGCGAGGATAACTCGTTGTGCCGCTACGCGCACATATTCTTTGTTCAATGTATTATCGCGACATGGACTTCCTGACTAACATCTACGGACCAGTTGTTGTTGGATTCACCGAACGCCGAATGCTCAGATATGCACTGTTTTGGCGTATCGCAACAATCGCCTCCTTTTCAGGATTCCGTGCCAAGTTCTTTGGTGCGATCGCCCACATTATCGCGACGCCACTGCAACAGTAAAAGCCGTCTTTGCTATGGAATGTTCAAAGAAGGTGCCCACTTCCACCACACAGCGGTGTAACCACACCCCTTAGCTTTTAGAAAAAAAAAGATGCCCCTTCCACCCACACGGGGTACCCACACCCCTAAAGCTTTAGAAAACAATGTGATATTAGTGAGTTTTTTTATTACCGTCCTCTTTCCGAAATCGTCGACGGATCGATGGATGCGATGAGATGAACTTGTATGAAGCCGCTGTGAGAGCGCTGCTGCATAGACTTGGACAGTCATACAGCCATCTGAAAATGGAAAAAAATAAGATACAATACACCTGGTTAATCGAGCTGAATTATGGTTGAAAAAAGAAAAAGTATTACAAGATTGAAGGCACTGGACACCATGGCTGGGGGGGCTGGCGGCTAGCTGCCAATGTCATATGTGAAAGGCGGCCCCAGTGAGGTGTGACCAAACGCTCTTTTGCAGTTCCCTTCCACCAATAAGGTTGGCAACAACCACCAGCCTGCTGCCATCGTACCCACTGCGTTCAAAGAGGTGGCAACAGCATCGATACAGCTGGGTGCAATAACTGTAACTGGCGCTAGGCCAGTTACCATCAAAATCACGAAAATGCCGAGTTATGTATGCAAAGAGAGGAGCTGGAAACAACTGGGGTATTCTAAGTTTTTCCCGTCTTGAAATACGAAAAGTTAGGGCATTTTGGGTCCTTTGACTGGGAAGTAGGGAGGCGGGAGACTTACCTGCACACCAAACAACCACAACAGAAGCAACACCAGCAACCGAAGAAGAATGTCATTGTGAAGATACCCAAGAAGATCGTCAATTGCTCGCGAGTCTTTTCTAACTTCTTGCTATGACTTGTTGATTTTTCGAAAGTCCTCACAAATTTCTACCAACCTTTGATTATAGGCTCGTTGATCTCATCTTCCGAATCCAACAAAACCACGTATACCACTACCATGAGGTTAACGAATGTAACCTAAATAAGAACTCGCTTGATCCCCCACGAGCAACGTTCGGAAGAGGTCATTCCAAATTTCTTTCCCTGATAGATCCACTTTGAAGACAGCTCGAAGGCTCAGCGTCTGCACTTCAACACATTGCATTTGCAAGTACGAGCCCAAGCTAGCAGAATATGTTCTATGGCTTGACACACTCCACTGTTACCTTATTGACACCATTATGGTGCTTGACGGAGCGCCAGCGCCGGATGAAGGCGTTCTTGCGTACATACGTTTTGGATCGGCGTCAGCAGTTTTTCCACCCCTCCGGGCCTTTATGAGCGACATTGATGGAAACAGGCAGCCGGAGCGTCAACGTATGGACGCCTCCAACCGACGCTACGACAAACACTGGTGCGGGTGCCGCGCACGTGCTCGCTTGCACTGTCTCCCTCGCTGTAACTTGGACGTGTTCAACTGCACATAATTTCGCTGGAGGAGGACTAATGGGAATAGCTCTTTAGTGGTGCTAGGTGATGCCCATCACATGTCCGCCTGCAGATTGAATAACTTATTCGTGGATTGTCGATTCCCCACTGTATCCTAGTACTGTAATAGGTACCAGATTTGTTGGAGACCTGAAGGATAAGCTGATTGGTCCTTACGAGTCCTTGTATGATATAAGCTGAATAATAGAAGTTGGATGTTTGACGATTATCTGTGTAGAAAATGTAAGCAGAGTAAGTGGCGCTCCATAAACTTTTTTTGTCCTCGTAAGATTTTACTGTTCGACCCCACAGCGGTCTAATTTTAACAGCTCGATTACTATGTCAACAGAGTGCTCAGAAGGTTCTTATCGGTCCACTGGTGGATGGTCGAGGTAAGCACAAGCGGTTGTACAGCTTGGCACGAGAAGCAAAAACAATATTGACAATGGAATGTGGGAATGTCCTTTTGATGCACTGGCTTTCTTTTCTGAGGAAAGATAAATTATTTTGTTTGGTAAGCATGTCCTTTATTTTGATTTTTATTTACCTAATTATGCAAGTGGAAGAACCGGAGGTGGTGCAGCAGCAAGAGAACGGCCTAACAAACTCCGGTCCGAGATTTAAGACCGACGCTCTTGCGGTCAAACCAAGCCTTCTACGCCTCGGAACGACGATGATCGGTGACTCGTCTAGCGGATTCTGGTACATTGGTAGGTATACTACGAATCGCTCATAGGCGACATTGCATCCAAAGACACTAAGCATTTCGAGAATATTCAGTTACTTCTGCCAAACGAGGTTTTTAGATGACACCTTTATTGGCCTTACGTTTCGACCTTCTCGTCTTCTTCAGAGGCCTGAAAATGGCTCGAAGCTTTTAATTTGTTACCTAAAAGCTTCGAGCCATTTTCAGGCCTCTGAAGAAGACGAGAAGGTCGAAACGTAAGGCCAATAAAGGTGTCATCTAAAAACCTCGTTTGGCAGAAGTAACTGAATATTCGACATCATGCCGAGGTTTCAAGAAGGGACTACATGGAGATTACTAAGACTTTTGGATTGATCATAGGCGAACTTTTCATCCTTACACTTAGTGTAGCCCACGCGGGAACTTTAAACTGAGCGCTCTCTACCAGATGCCTTCTTGGCCCAACATCTTCCAGATGGCGAAAAAAGCGACAAGACCGAGAATTGACCATTAGAAGCGTTCATCTCATCCTCACTCCTCCCATTATGATACCTTATACAATTATTTACCACGGATGCTGCAGCGAGGCTTGGACCATAGACTTCGCCTGACCATAGTTTCTTTTTCGTTTTCCACATTCGAGTGTATCTCTACCGTATGTTCTAACGTGTTCCTTCGCTCCCTGAAAGCCAAACAGGTGCCGGTGTACTGATATGCGTTCCATCCAGGAGTGGAGTGAGCCTGCCCGTGGCTGCGTTTTCTACCAGAAGTGCCCGGTTCAGGTAGAAAGTGACCAGAGGTGGGAAATGCCACCTCTGGTCACTTCCACCTCTCCTGACGATACCAACTGTATGTGCAGGCAGGGTGACCGATAAGTATGGAGCCCGCGGAACCGGAACCTGGACACCACTACTCACAAATAGCATTCGCGAAGATGGAGACATATAGTGCTCACGCGTTACATTTGAGAAAACAGCATTCTCATCGAAGAATAGTTCATACGTTCTTTTCGAAGCGCTTGAAATGTTCTTGCAGTCACCGTTCCTCCCCAGAAAGTTGACCAGGACTACACCTCATCGCTGGCAAAAGGGCATACATAAGAGCCGTTCAAAAAGTCCAGGAACAAAGTTGTGAAAATTGCTTCAACAAAGACCTTGATTTGACAGATAAAGAAATCACTTACATACCGCCGTTACAATGAATATCAAACATCCCCAACTCTGTGGTTCACCAGACTCCTTTTCTTGAAACATATGGAATATCAGCAGAAATGGACGATTTCCTCTGATGGGAGCACGCGATTTTTCAGCGTTCACTCGTGACAGCGCATTACTGATCAATATAGCGTTATGGTAATTTTGGGAATAATCTCGACGAGGTTCCTAGTTCATGACAGTGAGCGGCACAGGCATACAAAACGATTGGATTTATTACAGACAACTTTAACACGTAGAACAACAAAAACAGCTGTACAATAGACTCTACCTAAACTCTCCTAATTTTCTTCGGCCTTGGACCAAGTTCTTTGAGAGGAGTATGATCTGTAATGCTCACTACATGAACACCAGCAACCGTGAGACCTTTGACGCAGGTCATACGTCCGGGACCGAGTCCTTTCACCTAGACGAGCAGTCATAAATCCTTGCAAACAATTTGTACGACACCTTTCGACTAACCTGCACGCGCACCGTACGAACTCCTCTTCGAACGAGTCTCTGTCCAGCGGCAACTCCTGTTGTCTGGCCGGCAATTGTAGTCTTTTTACGGGCATGTTTGAATCCCTCCAATCGACATGATGTGTAGATAATCACATGGTTCTTAAAAAGTCCGGTAAACGACAGTACTCGAATATCCGTTGGAAGTCGCATGCTCCTTCAGACATAACAACATAGAGATACAACTACATATTAAAGCAGTGGCACGGTTGCTGGAGGCGGACGGTTGTTGCCATCGCCATTGGTGGAATGGAATTGGCTACACTTCCACAAAGCGTTAGACACTTTCGAACGCCCTCCTTCAGCCGTTCCACCAGTGACACTGACAACAACCGCCAGCAATCGTGCTCCCTGCCTTAATGACGATAGAACCCACTTTTTTGTCCATTACTGTGACCAAAGTATTGTTCTTGGTAGCTTTAATGTACACAATAGGCAGATCGCAGTATGGAATCCCATCAAACTCCGTCTTCAACGTTTCGGCAGTAGGAAATCGTGACTCTATCCCTTGTAAATTAACAGCAGTGAATCGACCTGCACCAGATGTGCCTTCCATAACTTCCTGCAAATAATTCTAGACTGATTACCCACAGATTCACGTTTTGGCGCTATACAATATAGGCTTGAGCCCGACTTGTTAAGGTGTCACTGCGTCATTATTCGAAAATGAGGAAAGAAGGAAACGGCCTCAGGGCATGTAGCACACTGGCAAATCTCTAAGAGGGTCGTGTTCTGTCGGTGAAAGAAGGGGGGGGAGGGTGGTATGTGGCTCGATATAGTTATTTTGTTGATTTTGCCTGTTTCACGCGCGCCACCCCTCCCCCTCCCCACGTTCGATGGCAATTTTTTGGAGGCGGCGGGGGAACTAGAAAACTTTTTGGGGAAGTGGTAGGAAGCTAGGAAGATTTGGAAAGATGGCAGGTACCATGGAGGGGGGGGGTGAAGGTCGTACCAGAGGAGACTAGGGGCTCGCACTTCGCAAAAATTTCCCAACGACGGGAAGTGCCCTTACGTACACCTTCCCACATCATTTCTTTAATTTTCGTGTTTGACGGATTTCATTGAGATTTGGAATGCTCGCGGGAATGGCGAACTCTGTGGGAGCCTAGGAAAGGAGTTCTGGCGCACATGCACCAGTTTGTTTGATAAGAACATGTCGTACTTCGAGTATGCAAAGTTCACCCGTCCAGAGCTCCTTTGCGATCCCCTCTCCCACCCCCAAATGACGAGTCGTAATAAGCTATTCAACTGCGAACTTATATTGGACTGGCCCTCATATTCTCTTCGGAACACGTTCATAGTTGCTTATCACTTTAACAAGTGTATTTTAGGACATCCGATACGCGACGACGGCGCAGAAACACGCACTGAATGGTGCAATTTTGCACGGCATTCGCATGAGGATCCAACTGACTCAACTCATGCTGCTAATGCTCAAGGCGTCTAGTTAGAAAATACCCTGTTAATATGAAAGAAAAGTCGCGACTTGTTAGACTCTTGTTAGAGCTATGACGCAAGATAATGTTAAGCTTACCTGTGCAACTCCAGCAACTTTTGTACCAGCTTTGTGAGCATCTCGAATGCTGTCTAGGAGCGCCGGAGAAACAGAAAGAGGGCGAGCTTGCAATACAGGCCACATAGTGTTTCTTCCCAGAAGAAGCCTAGAGAAGTCTGTCGCAAGTCGCCTTATGGCAGCGCACATCCTCTGAAAGATTAAAATGCAAATTCGCTGCAGAAAAAAAATTATTAGGAAACAGATAACGCTTCTATGAAGCCGCCGAAAACTCGTCGCGAAGCAGAGGATTCCCATTCAAACTGATTCGAGGCCGTTGATATTGTCAATCCTAATCCCTGTGGTACAGTGCATGACGCTATAAGGCATGGTTCACAGCTTGTCTAAGGTAGGCGGTAGAACTGGGGCCGTATGCTATATTTTCCCTCGGAGGAAGATATCCCCCAGTAATTCTCCACTCTCTGCCGTTATCTCTACTGATGCCCCTCGTCTCTCTGGCTCTCGCCGCTCTGCATCCATACTCTTCTGGCGCACGCTCTGTGCGAATATAGTGCAGCGCAGAGTATAATCGATATTCTCCCCTCTCCCCCAGCGCATGTCGTTGGGGAGATTTCGCGAAAGTGGGGTAGCAAAGATGCAGAGGCAGAAGCAGAGAGGCATCGATAGAGACAACAGCGGACAGCCGAGGTATTCTGGCGGATGTCTTCCGCTCTATGGGAAGTGTAGCATACGGTCCCTGGAGAATCGAGCACGCGAAACGTCAGGAAGTATTTGTGAAGGGGGTTAGACGAGGGTCGCTCTAGAAACCTGGAAAATGGACAGCCTCCCCAGTCTCCTACGACCTTCCTCTCCTGGGCGGAATCGACAAGAATCGAAGTACATCTACAGTTCGTTTGCTGCGGACGAAAGGGCGTGTTAGGCGGTATGGGTTTGGCGCTGAGCGAAACGCGTTCTCTACAATTTAAAGCGGGTAAGCGACAACAATTGTGGCCGAAGTGGGTACAAAAGATGCAAGAGCAGAAGCCGCCAGTAGACAACGTAGAACAACAGGAGACAGCCGAGGTATTCTGGCGGACGTCTTCGGCTCTATGGGAAGTGTGGCATACGGTCCCTGGAGAATCGAGCACGCGCGAAACGTCAGGAAGTATTTGTGAAGGGGATTAGACGAGGGTCGCTCTAGAAAGCTGGAAAATGGACAGCCTTCCCAGTCTCCTACAACCTTCGTCTCCTGGGTGGAATCGACAAGAATCGAAGTATATCTACAGTTCGTTTGCTGTGGACGAAACGGCGTGTTAGGCGGTACGGGTTTGGCGCTGAGCGAAACGCGTTTCTCTACAATTTAAAGCGGGTAAGCGACAACAATTGGTGGAATACAACTAATACGAACGAAAAGATACAGTTTTGCTACTGGCTCGTCTCATTACTGGTAGAAA